CAGATTCCATTCCCACCATCCACATGGCTCACAACCTTCTGCAACCCCAGTTCCAGGGGATCTGACACTCTCTTCTGGCCTCCTTGGGCACCAGGCATGCACATGGTACACATACACACATGCAAATAGAACAGTCATCCACATAAAATAGGAATAAATAAGGCAAATAGCTCCTGAAGAATGAAACCCAAGGTTGATCTCTGACCTCCAAACACAACACACACATGCATGCATGGTGGGGAGCACACACTATTTAGGCCAGCCAGGACTCCACAGTGAGAGGAAATCAGGCTACAATTAAGCTGGAAGTTTCCTCCCTGCTGGGTAGCTTTCATAGTCCCAGAAGGTGCTATGATCTTACCCAACTGTGAACCATGTGGGCTACAATGCCTGCCTGCCAGGCAAGATGTCCCCTTTGGCACAACAGAAGATGTGACGGTGATGTGGTTAACCAACCACTTTGTGATTGGATTTGAGGCCGGCTCTACAGGAGGGAATTCCCACCTGGTACTGTAACCCGTGTCTAAAGCCATGGTACAGGAGGTCACAGGTCCTAGGGGGACACTTACCACTGTTGTGTGACTAAATGAACATGGTACCAAACTGCCTTCTAAATATTAATATTTATAAGCAGAGATTAGTGTTGCTCTCAACCTTGGTCAGAGAAGCTCCTTTTGCTCTGGGTAATGATTAATGCAGCGACTCCCAGGTGGTCAATGACCTGAGAACAAGTATCTGGGAGTTCTCAGCCCTAAATATTACATCTATACCACCTGCTCCGAGGCTGAAGGGCCATCTCGGAAGAGAGGATGGGAAAAGTGTCAGATCTGGAGGATGGGGGAGGGCTGTGAAATGTCATTGCACTCAGGAACTCTCAGAGCAAGAGCTGCTCAAGGCAGAGCCAGTCAACATCAGGGAGAGGAGAGGGCTCCTGAAGGACCACTGGCTGTTAAAGGTTGCTGGAGGAAAAGGAGGAATTATTTATTTTCTTCAGTGGTCTAGCCCATGCACCAGTAAATAACTGTCCATAAATGCTCATGCAAGCAAGTCTTATCAAACACAGCAGGTCACAAATAAACAAAAAAGATGTGAAGTGGGAGGGGATGAGAGAGGGTAACAGGAGTGAAAATATCATCCTGAGTGAGGTAACCCAGACTCAGAAGGACAAACATGATATGTACTCACTCATAAGTGATCAGACTGCAACCCACAGATCCAGGGAGGCTACCTAGCAGGGAGGACCCTAGGATGACTGTGGCTTATAATAAGTTTCGGTTTTGCCCAATCACTGGCAAGCTTTAGTGAAACATTTCATCATTAGGATAAGAATTATCAAGTTGATGAAAGAATATGCTGGCTGTATTTCCAGGAGGGGAGGCCAAAATCTTTTTAGGTTATGGATTAGCCTATAGAAAAATGTCTGCCGTAAAGCAGTGAAGGGGAAGATGAATAGGAATCTCACTTACACAACTTAAGTAAAATGTAGCTCTCTGAACAGATAAAAATGAGTTTCTTCTGTATCCCAGAATCCAATCAATATTTATATGTATAATTCAGCTATCATTTGGCTTATTGGGAAATGTTATTTTTTACTATATTCTACAGAGAAAATATTTTCCAGTTTCAAATAACCCTGGACTTTTGAATTATAACCTGTTTTTATGTTTAAAAAAAAGTCTGTATGATAAAAAAAAATAATAATTAGCTCTTCTACACACCAATACTGAAATTGCTGGAAGACAAATCAGGCCCCATTCTCATTCACAACAGCCACCAAAAAGAAGGTCCCCGGAATAAATGTAAACAAGGAAAGTAATGATTTCTACAATGAAAATCACAAAACAACACTTAAAGCTAAAGCGGATACACATACACACATGAAAACTAAAAAGGACACACACACACACACTCACAAGAAAAAAGAGGAGCTGGGCATGGTGGGGTCTTGATCCTTTGATCCCAGCACTTGGGGACAGGAGACAAGTGGATCTTCATGAGTTTGAGGCCAGCCTGGTCTAAATAGAGTTCCAAGACAGGACTCCATAGAGGGATCTTGTCATAATAGAGGGGTAAAAATTCACAAAAGAAAGCTTGTCATATGACCCTGAAATGCAAAGGCTTGTACCCCCTGGCTTGCGGTTTTTCCTTTTAAAAAACCTTCACTCTGAGCGCTCAGGGCCGTCCCTCTTCACCTGGCTAGCCAGTGTGTTGGAGGCAGACCAAGCCCAGGCTTGCTTGTTTTAATAAACCCCTTTGTACTTGCATCGAATATTGGCTCTGTGGTGGTCTTGCTTGAGGGTCTCGCAACACGGGCACAAACCCACACACAGGTCTGGGCACGGTCACACTGTCGGTGGCAGACACAGAAGTATCACTGGGCTTGCTGGCCACCAGCTTCAATCCAGGTTCAGAAAATCACCCTGTCTGCGGAAGCCCATTCAGGTTTCCTCATGGCTTTACCCAGCACGTCTGCATAAAGAGGATGATTGGACCACGGGCCTGAGTACCAGGTGTCTGAGATGGTCTGCACTTGGCTGTGCTGGGGGGAGGTCTTTTGCTCCACCCCCTTGGCATTCCTTTAAAAGCCCTATGGCAGAGACAGTCAGGGCCCACAGACTAGGATCCAGGGCCGATGGATTAGGATCCAGGCCCTCCTGAGGCTATCCTGTATTTTCTATTTCTCTCCCCTCTATACGTCTATATTTATTTATTTTTATTTTTATTTATTTATTTATTTGTTTTGTTGTTGTTGTTTTTCGAGACAGGGTTTCTCTGTGTAGCTTTGCGCCTTTCCTGGAACTCACTTTGTAGACCAGGCTGGCCTCGAACTCACAGAGATCCGCCTGGCTCTGCCTCCCGAGTGCTGGGATTAAAGGTGTGCGCCACCACTGACTGGCTATATATCCTGCTGCTCCTACTCAAGAGTACTCTGGGGAAAAGTGGGGGTGGGATGGCCCCCCACACCTGTCTCAGTGCATCTCGGTGGAGTAAGGTAGACAACGAGAGATCAGAACACCTGACATCTCCCTCTGGGTTCTGCTTGTGCACACAGTTTTTGTTTTTAAATCACAAAATTCACTGGAGGGGGGAGGTGCTTAATAGCTAGAGCAATCCTGAACATGCAGGTTTGAAGCCAGCCTGGTCGACACAGCAAGTTCCAGGCCAGAAAAGGCTACACAGTGAGACCCTGTCTTGATTTAAAAAAAAAAATAAAATAAAAATACAAAAGTGGCCGGGCGGTGGTGGCGCACGCCTTTAATCCCAGCACTTGGGAGGCAGAGCCAGGCGGATCTCTGTGAGTTCGAGGCCAGCCTGGTCTACAAAGCGAGTTCCAGGAAAGGTGCAAAGCTACACAGAGAAACCCTGTCTTGAAAAAAACCAAAAAAAAAAAAAAAAAAAAAAAATACAAAAGTGATTTAGACAGTGGTTTAAAAAAAGAGAGAGGGAGAGAAGGGTTACCAGAACCTGGGAAGGGAAAAGGAAGTCAAGGGGTGGGGATAGGATGATTGACAGCACAGGGGTACAACTGGAAAGGACAAATAACTTCTAAGATTCTACAGCACAGTCAAACAGTGGTTGACAACAGTTTATCGAATGTTTCAGAATAGCTGAGCGAATTTTGAACATTCCCAACACAAAGAAATGATGACATGACAGAATGCCATCACCTGGCTGTATATACCAATTAAAATGCCACACTGGGGCTGGACAGGGGACTCAGCCATTAAAGGTTAGGCTTGCAACCAAAAAATATAAAATTCACACGATCTCTCATAATCCATACAGCTACTGTGTGTCAATATGCCTATAATCAAAAATCACTCATGACCCAGGCACAGTGGCACAGGCCTACAATCCTGTACTGCAGAGGCTGAGCCATGAAGATCCCAAGTTCAAGATCAGACCGGGTAGCGTACTGAGTTCCAGGTCAGTCTGTGCTATACAGCAAGGCCCTATCTCAGAAAAAAAAGGAGGAGGGGGAGGAAGAAAGGAAGGAAGGAAGGAAAATTGGAAGTGCACAAACTAAGCGGCTAACTAATGCAGGGCACCATTACCCATGATCCCCCGCAAATCTGAGAAACAGGAACTAGTGTACAGGGCCATGAACAGGACCAGCAGCTAGGCAATCTGCTAATGCTAAGAATTACAGGTACAATGGTATTGTCCTACGTCACTGGAAAAGGAAAGAGAACAGAGCTACCCTTGAAGGAGAACAACCAGGAAGGACATGAGAACGTGCCAATTGCTACATGCCACCAGACACAGGGAAAGGTGAGGTGGGCGTCTTCCTTTTCCCAGACAGGGTCTCTCTGTGTAGTCCTAACTGACTGTCCTGGAAATCACTCTGTAGCCCAGGCTGGCCTCGAATTCACAGAGATCCGCCTGCCTCTGCTTCCCAAGTGCTGGGATTAAAGGCGTGCGCCGCCACCGCCCTGTTCTTCCTTTATTTTTTAGCACTGTACTAAATTGTTTGTTTGAGACAGAGTTTCACTATGTAGACCAGGCTGGCCTCAGAAAGCTATCCAGCTGCCTTCTGGAATTAAAGGCATCACACCCAACCTGTTTGTTGGCTTTTTGAGACAGGGTTTCTTGTAGACAAGGCTGGCCTCAAACTTGCTAAGGAAGAAATGACCTTGAACTCCTGACTCTCAAGAAGGCTCCATCTCCAGGGCGGCGGGGCTACAGGTAACACCACACACAATTTATACAGTGCTGGGGATCAAACCCACCGCCTCATGCATGCTAGACAAGCTCTGTATTCACCCTTAAATTACGACGAACTGAATTTTCACACAAAACTCTTTAGGAGTAGTTCTGGTGGGATTGAACTCAGAGCCTCCACTTGAGGGCTTGTTAAGCTAGACTCCCTCAGTATACATTAATTTACAATAAAAAAAAAATTGTCATAGGCATTCATTCCCCAACTCCTTCTTGACTGGACTCACGCCCCACTTCTGCCCTGTCCTCCACATCACCGTTCCTGCCCCACCTCTACTTACAGATGCAGGCGGCGGCCAGCAGGCGGCCAGCAGCATAGGGGGCACCACAGCTCGGGAAGAGGGGCTGCACCATGTAGTTGGCAAAGGTGATGGCGATGACGGCCTGGCTGGTGGGTTCAATGATGAGCAGAGAAGTCCAGAGGCGGATGAAGGCAAGAAATCCCCCGAAGGCCTCCAGGATGTAAGCATAGCTGGCCCCAGATTTCTTAATGGTGGTACCCAGTTCGGCATAACAAAGGGCCCCAAAGACGGAGAAAATGCCCCCAACTGCCCAGATGACGAGTGAGAGGCCAAAAGAGGCACTGTACATGAGTACGCCCTTGGGGGAGACAAAGATGCCGGAGCCAATCATGTTCCCCACTATCAGGCACACGCCGTTAAGTAGCGAGATCTCCTTCTTCAGTTTTACCTGCTCGGCCCCTGGGCTGGCCCCATCCCCCAGAGCAGAGGTATTTGCCTCATGCTGGGCAGCCACTTCATACTTGGTGCTGTCGACCATGGTGGAGAGGAGGAAGGCCTTCACCAGCTTGCTTGCATTGCCCTCTAAGGAAGAAAGAAGATTAGGTTGGTAACCACACAGCATCTCTCCCCCCAACTCCGCAGGGTCCAACACAGTCAGCACCCACCACAATTCCGACTCGCTTCCAACCTCCCGAAAACCTCTTCCCCCAAGCCTTGTCAACGTGATCCCAACTTGACTTTTCCCCCAGAAGAACAGCACCCTGGTCTCTCATCCTTATGATGTAGCATGCCTTATTTACTCTGACAACTAAATCCTGACCTACTGTGACAGAGGACAGGCATGAGGCCGTTCAGTAGCTCTCCACACAATCATAGTGGTTTGAACCTTTTCTTCGGGCTCCCCGCCCCCCACGACCCCCCAAAAAAGCCTGTCTTCCCTCCGATTTCAGTTTCAAATGTCACTATGCTAAGATGCCTGCATGAGGAACCAGCCCTTGCAAGCGACTAATTTGCCAGATCCTCTTTTTGCTGACAGGCCGCGCTCTCCCCTAAGGACTCCGGGTGCGAGCCTGAAGCTTTCAAAGTGCCCCTGCTAGGGATGCACAGCCACCTCCCTGCTCGGGAATATCCATTAACAAACGGTCAGCTGGCATCTCTGACGTTGGCAAAGCCCAAGCAGCCCCACCCATCCTGAAAAGAGACAGGCAATTCTCTTGATGTTGCTTTTCCTTTCCCAGATACCTGTCCCAGCCTCTACCATCCCAGGTCTCCTGCCACCAAATCACTCACATCCACACCAGCCAAAAAAATAGCAGTGATCTTTCAGAAGGGTGGCCCAAATACACAGCAGAACCCAGAGGTGGCTGGAGGCAGTGGGTGGTGGCTGCCCACCCACTGCAGAACTGCTGGAGACACACCAGACCAAAACCAAGGAAAGGAAAGAGCTCAAGCCGGGCAGCAGATGCCTGGAAATACAGAGCTCGGGACAGCTGCACAAACTCGGAAAGCTTAGTAAGACAAATGGGGAAACACTAGAGCGAGAGAGGTTCTGGAGCGGGAGGAAGTGACCGGACACGCAGAACAGCAGAGAGGGGCTAGCAAGGGGACAGGGCGGGGCACACTCACTCCCTGGCTCTGGATACAAGCAGGTTCCTCCAGCAATGGCCAGCAGCAGTCACAGAGACAAAGAGGCACACGCCCCACAAGAGCAGTGGTCTGACCCGCTCCTCCTTCCTCCAACAGTAAAAGGGAAGCCTAGACAAATGCCTGCCGGACTTAAGTCAGGTCAAGAAGGGAGGAGGAGGTGGGGGAGCTAGAAAAGGAAGGGGTGAGGAAAAGGGAGAGGAGTGTTAAGCAAGAATCTGGGTCCAAGGTTCACAAGCCTTTCACATCTGCAAAAGGGGCAGCTAGGAGCTCTTGGCTCAGCACTTTCTGTGATAAGAAGGTGCTCGCTCAGGAGTCTCCTTCGTCAGCTCGGCCCCAGGACAGGAGGCCCAGAGGGAAGGGACAGCCAGCTGGGTGTGTTCTCTGCAACCCTGGAGTGTCTTAATAAGTTAGCAAGGACACAGCGGTGGCGCAGACCTCTTCTCCGGTATCCTCCATGTCCCACCCAAACCTCATTTCTCTCTCATCCCAAATAAGAAAGGCAGGAAGGCTATAGAATGCGACACATTGTTCATATGCTGAGATTACAGGAAGTGTGAGAGCGGTTCAGACGCCCTGTGTGGGCGCCCGAAGTGAGAGCTCTGTGCACTTCCCCATGCAGAGAGAAGGGTGACAGCCTCTAAACTCAGACCACCACCCCAAAGTCTGAGCCTCAAGTTATTTCAAAAGAAATATGGTCCAGAAATGAGACCAAACTTCTGGGTACAACTCCATCCCACCAGTGGGCTCTTTCATCCTTAGGGAAACATACTAAGTAAGACCTCTGGGACATCCAAAAATTCCTATAGGGGCGATGGTGACGCACGCCTTTAATCCCAGCACTAGGGAGGCAGAGGCAGGCGGATCTCTGTGAGTTCAAGGCCAGTCTGGTCTACAGAGTGAGTTCCAGGACAACCAAGGTTATGCAGAGAAACCCTGTCTCAATAATAATAACAAACAATAAGTGAATAAATAAGTATATACATACATATGGAGGGCTGGAGTGTCACTCAATGGTAGAGTGCTTACCTACCCCCACATACAAATAAGCGTGGAAATAAGGTTTCACTGAGCTATGCTAGGCAGGCCCAGAATAAACAGCAAAGGTTTCGCATTTTGGAAATCATAGTTTATTCTGTCTTTATAGTCTACTTTAAATCTGATACTCTGAGTCTTTGACAACCTACCTGTTCTGAAACTGAACTGTGCCCTCCTTCTACCCTTCCTACCCCTCTCTGGTTACTCTACAAAAACATCCTAGAGGTTAATCTCTGTGGCTCACCTTTCCATTCTGGCCCCTTAAAATCTTTAGCTAAATCAAGATGGAGTGCTGGGCTTAGGCCTTCCACAGACCACGCTTGAGGATGGAGAGATGGCTCAGCAGTTAAGAGCACTGGCCGTTCTTGAGAAGACCCGGGTTCAATTTCCAGCACCCACATGGTGGCTCACAATTTCAGCTCCAGTTCTGATGCCTTCTTCCGGACTCCATGGGCACTGTCCATACATGCAGACAAAACACCCACACACGTAAAATTAAATTAAAACAAAAATTGTAAAGCTCATGTCCCTCACAAGACAGCCCTACATACATCTGAAAACCACCTGGAAGACACTCTCCTTTTCTCCCAGCATCCCCTGAAAGGCTTCCATAAAAGTAGTCCTAGCATTGCTTGAGTTCTTATCCAGGCCAGACACACGGCTACACATGTCAGTGCGTTATCTCACTGAACTGTATGCAGCCCCACAAGGCAGGTACCACACACTCTGTGGGGTGCCAAGGTAGAGGGGAGGTAGGCAGCAAAGATCACAGAGCTTTGCTATCTGCTCAACCTCCTGCTCTCCAGCCCTTGCTGGTCACTGGTCTCTTGGCCTTCCCTTTAGACAGGAAACCACTCCAGGTGGCTCCTAATGAGTTACCTAGAGGAGCTTGGATCGGATTGGAAAGAAAGCCCCTGCAGTCTGTAGGTGGCTGTAGGTGACACTGTCACTGCCTTCAGGCTGCTACTCCCTGTCTCTGGGTGAGAATGAGCGGTGAGGATGTCTGCCCAGAGTGCTGTGATGTCTAGGGTGCCCACTACTAAAGACACAGAAGCACACATCAGGACACCTGCCTTTTGGGGATCAAAATACACCAGCACCAACGGAGTACAAATCCAAATGTGAAACCCAGGAAAGAGAGGAAAAAAAGGAAATGGAGGGTGGGGTGCACAAGGTTGAATTCGTGGCTGGCTATCATAAAAGTGAAATCCTCAAAGCACTGAGCCAGATCAGCCCAAGACAGAGTCCACGCCCCAGCAAATAGCATGCCCTAGTGGTCTCACCAGGAAGTACTACAAATGGATTCATCTTCCCAGCCCTGCAGTCAGGCACAAGAGGCTGCCAGTCATGGAAATGTCCCCCCCTTTTCTCAACCACTGCCTAGCCCCAAAGACAAGAAGACAACGCCTTTGGCGGCTCACTCTCCTCCCTGAGACCCTGGCTCTCTGTGGAACACTTCCTCCATTCAGACAGCCTGGTAAAGCAGCCTCCCCCGGGCTCTCCTAAAGGACCTCGGCAAAGCGGGCTTCACAGAAGCCTTCACACTCCTTGTCATTTTCCCCTTGCCTTTGGTGTGCTCATCTCTGAGAACATCGTGGCTATGCCAGGGAAAAAAAAGTACACTCACTGGACAGCCTAGAGAAGTTTTCAGTCCGGCGGGCACCAGAACATCAGTCCCGGAGTGCTCAGCCAGCCAGTGTTGAACTACCATGCTCCAACAGCAGCACTGAAACACCCTTCCTCCAGGAACCTGCACACGGTTCAGACTCTCGACTCCTCAGCCAAGCTCCACGAGCTCCTGTGAGAACACGCTTTCTCCCTCAGAGACCCCAGGGTTTGCCTTCCGCTACCCAACTGGTCTGGGTGCCCCCCTTAACAACAGAAACAAAACAGATACTCGCTGATGCACTTAGACTCCTCATCACTCCACAAGAGCTGCTCGGCCCCTCCCTCTCCAGCTCTCCATTTGTTTTGCTATATTCCACTATAACTAAGACCGTCCCTTTAAAAAAAAAGGGGGGGGAGTAAAAAAAAAAAAAAAAAAGAAAAGAAAGAAACTGTTTACTGTTCTGCCCAGGACTTCCCATTAACCAGAGGCTGAAGTCTCCAGACTCTAGGCTCTACCTAGACAGGGCCAGGGCTAGGAGCAAGAAATAAGGTTCTTCGTCTCCCCTTGGCCCATTTTCAGGTACTCCATCCTCGTCCTGTGCTTCCCCACACATCCACTTTCCCTGCTTCCCCACCTCTTACCTGTCTGGAGACCTTTGGGCAAGTGCAGGGAGGAGGGGGCTATCAGCACACTGGGGTGAGGGGTGGTAGTTAAGACAGTCAGGGGTGTGACTTCAGCAGCTGTTGACTCCGAGGAGCAGAAAAGGCAGAGGGTGACGGACCGAAATGGAAAACAGGAAAACACATGTGTGACTCTGGCCGGCAGTGGGGAGGGGCCAGAGGACGGGCTGGAGCTGAGGCTGCCTGGTCAGACCCAGAGGACCTCGGAGCAGGGGCACGCTGACACCCAGGCATCCTCTCCTCTGTTCGGCTCCTCCTCCCCGCATCAGCCCCTCGTGGTCCTCATTGCCCTCGCTGGCTGGGCACTTAAGTGTACCCTGCAATTTAAAGTGCCCTCCGGAGCCCCCTCTCTACCTCTCCTTCATTCTATTTCCTAACTCTCCTACCCTCCCTCCGGGCTGTGCTTACAGCATTTGGTCCCGAGATCCCTCCGTCAGGCCAGTGAAATTCTGCAGTCCTATCTCAAGAGTTTGTGCCATTTCAGCCTCTAAAACAAACCAAGGAAGCCAGCGCATACCGATGAAGGCCACCTGTGGGTACAGCCAAGCGTGTACCCAGATATCAACAAGCCCACTCACAGCTCAGATCCCTAATTGGCTGAGGAGTTGTTAACAATGAGTTTGAGTTGCTAGGTTAAAAAAACTAGACCTGCGCCACCCTGGGCACATTCCTAAATTGGCAGCCTTTCAAACCACGTTATTTAAATATCTGTTGAATGTTTACTTTGCAGAAACGGGGGAAATGTGATCTTGGAATAAAAAGTAGACGAGGGCTGGGGGGATGGTTCTGCAGGTAAAAGTGCTGGCCTTCAAAACCTGACAAGCTGATCCAAGAAAGGGGAAGAGCAACTCCCCAAAGCTGTCCTCTGGCCAGGCATGGTGCTACAGGTCTTTAACCCTTTAATCCCAGCAGATCTCTGTGAGTTCGAACCCAGACTGACCTACACAGTGAGTTCCAGGACAGCCAGGGCTACCCAGAACCTGTCTTTAAAAAAAAATAAAATAGCCGGGCGGTGGAGGCGCACGCCTTTAATCCCAGCACTCGGGAGGCAGAGCCAGGCGGATCTCTGTGAGTTCGAGGCCAGCCTGGGCTACCAAGTGAGTCCCAGGAAAGGCGCAAAGCTACACAGAGAAACCCTGTCTCGAAAAACCAAAAAAAATAAATAAATAAAATAAAATAAAATAAGCCGGGCAGTAGTGGCGCACGCCTTTAATCCCAGCACTCGAGAGGCAGAGGCAGGCAGATCTCTGTGAGTTCGAGGCCAGCCTGGTCTCCAAAGCGAGATCCAGGAAAGGTGCAAAGCTACACAGAGAAACCCTGTCTTGAAAAACAAAAACAAAAATTAATTAATTAATTAATTAATTAATTAAAATTTAAAAAAAGCTGTCCTCTGACACACTTGCACTGTGGCACGTGCACACACACCTGTACACACATACATTCACACACAGGAACACACTATAGTAAAAAAATAAATAAATAAAATGTTTAAAAGCTGTATGAGCTGCTTTATACTAGAGATGTCATTTTCAGAAGCTACCTCTTGGTAGGCATGTTAAACCACAGAAAACGTAGACAGTAGAAATCTCCGTCCCGGGGAAGGGCCACTTCACAGCAGCCCAATCCCAGGTGTGGCTGCTGCCTTTAGGCAGCCATCAGTTTGCTGGTCTCCAGTCCACACCCTGCAACTCACATCCGTGTTCTGCAAATTACTCCCGATTGGTCCAGATAAGGGCTCAAGAATTCTGACGGGGACTAGAGAGATGACGCTGTTAGGAGCATGTCCTGCTATTCTGGAGCCACCTCACACCCGTCAGGCAGCTCCCAATTGCCTGTCTCTCTGCACAGTTGACGCCCTCTTCTGGCCTCTGCAGGCACTTGCATTCACGTGCAGTACTGGGCACAGCACGTATACACGCAGGAAAGAAAATAAACTTTAATTCTGGCTGCATCACTAGATAGGAGCCGAGTCCCATGTTACCAAAAGGCAGACATCAGAATTCACTGGCACCCAATGAGAATTATTCCAAGGAAAATGTGAGGCCCTTTTAGATCTAGGCTGTTCCCTGGCCGACCTGCCCTTTAATCTTACTCTGGGGAGAGATCCAGGTTATCAAGTGGGGGGTGAGGGCCATAGGCAGAGAGAGAGTTACCCCTGCTTTGTATCACAAAAGTCTGGCCTTGCTCCTGGGACCACACAACAACCTCACTCCTGCCACAGAGCTTTTACAATGACTGTTTGACCGTTCTCCCTACTGGGAACATTCTTTCCTGTGACATTTTTCATTCCTGGTATTATGTGTTGGTCTTCACCTCAGCCAACAGGAGATAAACATCAGAAGAGCTCTGTTCACCATTGTACCCTGTGGGGGAGGAAAGCTCACACAAACCACGGAGAGATGTTTGCTGGATAAATAAGTCAAAAGATGAACAATACTCTTCTCTGATGTCCCAGCCGGCTGGGCTCCTGGGTGGGTCCTTGAATTTGCCCCCCAGGCCACCTGGTGTTACTACACTTGGATTAGAGTAAGGAGAATTCACAGATACTTAATCTTTTCCATCTTAATGGCTTTAGGGGAGGAGTGTGGTTTTCATTTTTACTGACAGACTGAGAACAGTTTGAAATTGACTTTCAGGACTTGGTGGCAGAGCACTTACCTAGCAAGCTCACGATCCCAGGTTCCATCTCTAGCAGCCAGTGGGGGTGGGGTATGAGAATTTTAGAGCTAGTCACGATGATAGCTCAAACCCAGCCTTTGGGATGTGGAGGCAGGAGGATCTGGAGTTCAAGGCCAGCCTCAGTACATAATGAGTCTGAGGCTAGCCTAGACCGCAAAAATCCTGTCTCCAAAAAATTTTTTTAGAAAAGAAGAAAGAACGAAGGAAAAAAAGAAAGAAAAGAGGAGATGAAGGAAAGAGAGAAGGAAGGAAGAAGAGGGGAAGGACTGCAGGAACTGAGTTCTAATCCCAGCACCCTAGTAAAAAGCTACTCTGGGTGGAGACAGGAGGATTGCTGAGTCTTGATGGCTGCCACCCAAGCTCCAGATGGGGTGAGGGACCTTATCTCAAGGGACTCAGCAGAGTGATCGAGTGTGCACACCCTGCATCCTTTTGACACAGGCACAAGTACACACACACACACACACACACACACACACACACACACACACGTGCTCATACACCACACTCAACATATATGCACACCAGAAACGAAACTGACTTTTGTTTAGCTAATGGAAAAACTAAAAGGCCCTTCCATACCTAACGTTCTTTTCCAGGGCCCCCGTCTAGATGCGGCCCATCCCCCTCGACCAGCGGGCTCACCTTTGCCTCTTTCTCCCACGCTCCCTCCCAGCCACTCTCATTTCACTGGGGCCCCGCCCGCACCTCCCTCTAGTTGGCTCTTCCTCTTGGTCTGCAGCGCTAAAATCTGGGCCGCTCAATACCCGACCTAGCCACAATGCCCTCGATGCCCTCAAATGGGCAGGCGCCGAACAGGGCTCTATCGGGGTGGGGATGGAGACCCTACCCCACTCTACCCGGCGTCCCTTCTGTTCCCTTCCCTTGTATCTAAGAAGCTCTGGAAAAAGGAATTGTGGTGAATGAGAGAGAAGGAAACAAAGGTCTGAGAACCCAAAGGCCCGGCAAGCCGACCCCCCCCCCCGCCCCCCAGGCCGGCCCCGCGCCTACAAGATGAGTCCCCGGGGAATGAAAATGACCTTAGAGATGTGTCCTCTGCCCCAGGCACACCCAGCCTCCTCTTTCCTCCCTCCCAATCTAGCTGGAGCTGGCAGCCAGACGGCGGTCTGACCAAAAACCCCAACCCCAGACAGCGCCTGCCTCCAACCGAGGAGTTGGCTGAACCTCGGAAGGAAGCCCCGGGGACAGCGGGGGGAAGGAGCGGGACCTGCTTGCAGCCCGGGCTGGGGGTCTCCTGGACTTTATCTCTGCCTGCCTTCACGTTCAGACTCTCGGCCCCCTCGGGGGAACTGTTGCATTAGCTTCAAGGTTCCAGATTAAAGAAAGTGGCCAGGTTGCCCCAAAGGTGTCCTGAGTAGTCGCCAGGAGGCAGCACTTAACCAAAAATAGAGGCAGCAAGGGTGCGGCGAAGGCTGAACTTGCCGGTGCACCTTTTCATCAGACCCAGATGGGGAGAGAGTCTGAACCTGGCAAGTTGGCAAACGCTTCCAATTCCGGCACTCAGGAGGTGGAGCCACGAGGATCAGAAGTTCAAAGCCATCCTCCGCTACATAGCAAGTTGAAGGCCCTCCAGTTGAAAAAAGAATGGAAGAGGTTTTTGGAGGAGTCTGTGCTGAATGGCATATGTATGTATGTACCTGTGTGTAGGATTGAGTGGGGGTGTTCAGACATGCGGAGACCAAAGGAGTCCTTAGGTGTCTTCCTCTACTGCTTTTCACCTCATTCCTTGAAACAGGGTCTCTCCCTGGACCTGAAGCTCACCATTTTTGCTAGGCTGGCTGGCCAGCAAGCTCCCAGGACCCGCCTATTTCTGTTCCCCCATATTAAGATAATAATTCATTGAGTCAATCCTGGTTTTCTGGTGGGTGCTAGGGAGCACTGAAGGGAACCGATTCAGTTACCCGGCCTACTCTCCCAGAATCAGTCCAGGATTCATGAGCCAAGGTTGTGAGTTCATGTGTTGGGATGTCAACATACAGGTCCTGGCATCTAGTCCATCGAAAATGCTGAACCAAACATAAACGTTTCCCAGTTTTTCATCTGCACTTCCTGAGTACCAGACTGGTTGGACGGCAAGGACGCAATCTTTGGGGAGGTGAAAGATAGTGTGAGCATTGCAGAGGCCGTGGGGTGCTTTCACCAGGAACAGCAAGGCCAGCAAGAAGCTGACCGTTGCCCACTGTGAATGGCTCTGACACTCTGGCTTGTGTGTATCTGAACCAGCAGGCCACTGCTCAGGAGATCACCCTCCTGGAGACTGCGATCTCTGTGCTCTCACTGAGGTCCTGCGGTTTTCATATTCTCCTCCAAGGCCAACTGGACGGCAGAGTTAAATTTCTGATTATGAATAAAAAAAGGAGGGGGGCATCTAATTTCCCAGAGTAAGGTTCTTGAGCAAAAGTAACAGTGTCTAAACCCACAGAACAGAGAGGTATTTGGATAACATTGGGCAGGCGGAGGGGGATGAGTGCATAACAAAATGCAAATGCTAAATTTGGAACCTGGCATCCTTGAAAGGCAAAGGAGTGTAGGAGAGGAAACACAGGAATCTCAAACTCTTTCTTTCTTTAGAAAAAGCTATTTTCTATAGCTCTTGATTCCTTTGTTCTCAGATGAAGTGCAGAGGACATTCAGTGTGACAAGACAGAGCCACTTTCCTGTGGTTGACAGAGCTGAAGAAGTCTTTAGAGAGGACTGAGCAGATGCCAGACCCAACTGTTCCATAATGTCCAAAAGCCGGTGGACTAGAGAGATGGCTCAGCAGTACTCATGGCTCTTACAGAAGACCCAGGGTCAATTCCCAGCACCCACATGGCAGCTCACAACCACCTGTAACTCCAGTTCTAGGGATCTGATGCCCTCTGCTGACCTCCAAGAGCTCCTGCACATGCATGGTACACATACATGCACTCAGGTACACACATTCATAAAAATAAATAAACATTTTTAAAAAGAATGGTGGCAGCCATGTGTGGTGGCACACACCTTTATTTCCAGCACTTGAGAGGCAGAGGCAGATCTGTGTGAGTTCAAGACCAGCCTGGTCTACGAAGTGAGTTCAAGGACAGCCAGGACTGTTACACAGAGAGTAACCCTATCTTGGGGCTGGGGGAGGGAGGGGGCGGGGGGGGGGGGGACAACAAAAAAATGATGGTAATGTTAGTGGTTTATTTATTTATTGGTTTTTCAGGACAAGGTTTCTCTGTACAGCCCTGGCTGTCCTGGGACTCACTTTGTAGACCAGGCTGGCCTCAAACTCAGAGATCTGCCAGCCTTCGCCTCTCAAGTGCTGGGATTAAAAGCACATGCGACCACTCCCACCTGCAGTCTATTTATAACCCATGGATCGTACCTCTGCTACAGCAAACTAACCATGTCAAAAGTTGGACTTGCCATTCTTTCCTAGAGTTTCTCTTCCATATTTTGGAGTTCTGATCAAACGTCCTATCCTGCTCCCCAAATCCTCTAGCTCTTGCTCAATGACTACACAGAGGTTTTGTTGTTTTGTTTTGTTTTGTTTTGTTTGACAGGATCTTACTGTGTAGTCTTGACTGGCCTGTAACACACTATGTAGACCAGGCGGCCTCAAATCCACAGAGATCTACCTGCCTTTGCCTCCCAAGTGCTGGGATCCAAAGCCAGTGTTATCAGATCTAGCACATATACCCATTTTTCCAGGTTTTATTGTCCATATTATTATTCCCCAAAAGGCATTTCTATCACTTTGAATGATTTTGCCAACGGATGGCATCCCCTTCCTTTGTAAGCTACTAAGAAGATGGGAGAGCTGCTGGTCCAATTCCCTTATGTACCAAAGGTGATAGTATGAAGTTATCATCTTCCTTATTTCTGCAGAATATTGACTCTTACCCTGTTCTTCAAGCTTTTGGCTTCTACTTACTTCCTCAACTGAAAACTATGGGACTCCAGTGATGTCTGGAGACCACAGGCCTAGTAACATAAATTTAAGAACAGTGTGGTTCAATATCTACTCTGACACTATCTGTTTAAAAAAAAAAAAGTAAATCAAGCTGGGTGGTAGTGGTGGTGGTGGCGGCGGCGGCGGCAGCGGCAGTGGCAGCAGCGCACACCTTTGATCTCAGCACTTGAGAAGCAGAGCCAAGTGGATCTCTGTGGGTTCGAGGCCAGCCTGGTCTACAGAGCAAGATCCAGGACAGGCACCAAAACTACATAGAGAAACCCTGCTGTCTCGGAAAAAAAAAAAAAAGGAAATCAATGGTAATTTTGTGCATGTGTGTGTGTGTGTGTGTGTGTGTGTGTATTGCTAGAGATCAAACCAGGGCCTCACAAATGGCAAGTGCACACTCTATCAATGGGCTACAATCCCAACAGCCACATTTGCGTCACTCTCCTGAGCCTTGAAAAGGTCAAGAAAAGCTGTACGGTGGTTGCTACAGCACTGTCTATTCTCCGTAGGATCAGTGAGAAAAACATATGAAGTCATTTATGTAGAAGTGCTTTGAAAGATTTATTTTTGTTATTTTTAGTTATGTGTATGTGTGTGGTGATGTTTTGTTTGTGCGCTAACAAATAAAGCTTGCCTGAAGATCAGAAGCCATTAGCTAATGATAGGTCTGGAGGTCTATATAGATAACAGACAGGAAGTGATATGGTGGGGCGGAGACAGAAGCTCAACCCTTTTTCGGTCTGAGAAGGTGGGGAGGTAAGAAGTTTCTAGTGGCTGGTTGCTCTGCTTCTCTGATCTTTCAGCATTTACCCCTCTATCTGACTCTGGGTTTTTATTATTAGGACCAATTAGAATTCACACTACACCTGGTGTCCAACTTGTAGAGCATGAACTCATGAAAAAGTCGTTTGCCTGTGGCTTCGCAGCCACTGGCACAGGTCAGAGCTGCATGTGGCCGGAGTCACCACCCCACCAGCTAGGTTTTCCTTTCTTTTCTCCAAGCCCTCTGAGCAGCTCTTGGCTTTTTCTGTTGCAGCCTCTCTGCAGCAAACTCCAAATGCTGCCCAAGTTAGCCCCTCACCATGGCCAGCGCTGCCTTTAGGCAGCTCCTGCCACACGTTTCTTCCCCACTATCTCTCCTGTGTGCGTTTTCCAGACATCATGGTCCCTCTCCTGGTGGGACTTCCCTGGACCCCTACTGCCAAACTAGGTAGCTGCCTTGAAAACCCACTCAGGCTTCTACTGTTCTGTGCAAAAGCAGTCAGCCTCACACTAAACTGTCATCTGAACTGTCATTGTCTGCAAATTTGCTGATTCAATTGGGAATTCTTAAAGGGAGGAATTAGTTAAAAGAGAGTTTTTTCCCCATATTAAAAAATGGGAAACATGCCGGGCGGTGGTGGCGCACGCCTTTAATCCCAGCACTCGGGAGGCAGAGCCAGGTGGATCTCTGTGAGTTCGAGGCCAGCCTGGTCTCCAAAGCGAGTACCAGGAAAGGTGCAAAGCTACACAGAGAAACCCTGTCTCGAAAAAACCAAAAAAAAAAAAAAAAAAAAAAAAAAAAAAATGGGAAACACTATTACAATGGAGGGAGTTAGGTCTCTGTACGATAATATGACGGATGGCTTGAAAATGGAACAATGAAATGAGAGGATAATTTAGATGGGATTTATGTAATATCAATTATAAACATTATCTGTTTTATCATTTTTGTTTTATCACTAAAAAAGTTGGTTAATATGAATGCTAAGATACAAGTTTTAGAAAAACTTATTAAAACAGATCATAGAGATATTCAGACCCAGACAGAGGAATTTAAAGGAGAACCAATCTCAGTGTTGCATTATAAGGTTAGAGAGGAACAGTCTAAAGTTTTCAAACAATCAACTTTAATTTATCCAGTAACCTTACAGGAACTGCCAAATGACAGATATCCCCAAGGCTGTGTAAGAGCTGAATAGACTCCTATGGAAATGTTAGATTTAAGGAAATTCAAGGAAGCTATAGCCTCGTATGGCATGCATTCACCTTTTGTGAAGCAGATGTTAAACTCTAAACTCGTGGTCAACTTGTAATAGAATTATCTCTCAAGACTGGAGAGACTTGGTTATAGCAGTCTTGGAGCCTGGTCCTCAATTACAGTGGAGGACCTGGTGGAAAGATGAGGCTAAGAGTTATTGAAATCTCCCAAGACCAACTTCTTGGAGAGGGAGATTATGCTAATGTACAAAGGCAATCTCTATATGATGACCACATCCTGGCTTTATGCCATGCAGCAGATTTGAATGCTTGGGACAGAATTAAAGTAGGAAAGAAAACTGAGTCATTTACTAAAGTTATACAGGGCCCAAAAGAAACCTTCACTGATTTCTTACAAAGATCAACTTCAGCAGTAAATAGAATTATACCAAATTCAGAAGCTAGACAAATAATAATTGAATCTCTGGCTTTTGAAAATGCTAATACACAATGCAAAAGGGCAATTAGGCCGTTAGAGGCAAGATCAGTACCCTTGGAGGAATGGATCTGAGATACAGTCAATATTAAATCTCATAACCATGATGATGTTTGGATAGGAGAGGTGATTTCCTGAGGTTTAAGAAAAATCGAAATGCCAGGTGTTTTAATTTCGGTAAACAAGATCACCTAAAAAAGGGATTATAGGGCTGGAGAGATGGCTCAGAGGTTAAGAGCACTGACTGCTCTTCCAGAGGTCCTGAGTTCAATTCCCAGCAACCACATGGTGGCTCACAACCATCTGTAATAGGTCTGGTGCCCTCTTCTGGTCATACATGCTGTATACATAATAAATAAATCTTAAAAAAAAAAAAAAAGAAAAAGAAAAAAGGGATTATAAACAGGGCATTCCTAGAAATATATTTTCTAGCATAATCCAAACAGAACACCCCTCCCTTCTGGAGTATGCAGAAGGTGTGGCAAAGGCCGGCATTGAATTAATGAATGTAGATCAACAAGAGACAGTCAAGGTAACCCTTTGCCATCGGGAAACACCTTGAGGGGCCTCTCACAGGCCCCCATGTCAAATTCGGTTCAGTTGTTTCCTGTCGTGGAGGAAACTCCTTCCCAGAGCAATTAAAGAACCTAATGCCTATTGTAAAAAACCATACTGCTCTGTATGACAGAACAGCTATAAAAGGTAAAACAAAAATTTCAAGAGAACCATAAATCAAAATTGATAAAGATTAGATTTGAACAAGAGAGACCTCTTAATTAGAAGAGATGATAACTCATCAAACAGTGTGACCATTCAATTTAAACTTATATGACTAACAAATGCTTTTCATTTGATCAGATATAACTTGCCACAAGGAAACCTCTCCAGAGTTAGGGTGGGGCATGGTTTTGTTTTTGTCTTTTCAGGAGAATAAAGGCATTCAGCTAAGGAATCTGAAGACCACTAGACAAATGAGACATGTAAAGAAAAAGGACAAATCATCCAGAAAAAATTTCCCAAGAGTAAATTAGTTTATTGATATATCCCATTTTCAACAGGATAAAATTTCGTAAATCTTCCCAAATGTTTGTTTCTGCTGTTGTCCACAGACACATAATGCAAATGGTCTTTTTGTAGTCCCAATCCAATTAAAAATTAAAGCTGGCTTTGGAGTTGGAGTGTGGCTGTCTTCTCTTCTCTAAACCCAAATGTGCTTGTTAAAGTAAAATTCAAAATCTCTGTCTCATGTCAGAAAGCCCACCTGATATGGGACAGAAGAAAAACCAAAATCAAGGAATGATTCTATTGATACTAATCTCAGAATCCTTTGGTTTTATTTTGACTCTTTAAAACTTTTCCTACGGTATTACTATTATCTCAAAATTTATAAGATCAATATATTTTAACTTTTTGTCATGATATTAATGGTCATATAGAGTACTAACTAATTCTAGAAAATGAATTATGCAGAGACTGGACAACAAATGATACAGCTACCTCTCCCAGGACTTGACAATTAACCCAAATTTTTCCTTTCAGGATCCCCTAAAGATGCCATTGCCCCCAGACAGCAAGAAATAATTTTAAGAACACAACACCTGGGCTGGAGATATGGCTCAGTGGTTAAGGGCACTGGCTGCTCTTCCAAAGGTCCTGAGTTCAATTCCTAGCAACCATATGGTGGTTCATAGCCATCTGTAATGAGATCTGGCACCCTCT